TGCTTGATTAATGCCATGCAGCACTGTCCTTACCGAGAAATTTAAATGTTACTCCTCTCCTTTCTACCCCTCTTTTAATTGGTTTTCAAGAGTGATTATATTGTGGAGTACCCCTGAGTATTTCTCCTCTATGCAGGGATACTGATATGAGAAGAGGTTAAGGGAATTGATAATGTAGGTGAAGCCACCAAAAATTCGTTAGCCAAGTCACTGAATTTGCATGGTCCTGATAATTTGTGATAAGGTCACAATACTTACATTTAGGATATGCACAATGTCTGCTATGTGGCTGTGAATGAATGATTCTGTGGTTTCATCATAGGGTAAAGTTTGGCTGAGAGAAGACAAAGATCTTAGGAATGTCAGCTTCTCAAGTTCAGTCTGAATTTGTGGAAAAAACAATAAAAACAATTATACATTATAATCTCATTTGATAATTGTAGAGGGCTTTTGAAAAGTTATTTGGAATGTTTTAAACATCTGATATCTCATTCAATCCAATATCAGTCTTTTATATTATCATTCCTTATAAGGAATGAATAAATTACAGAGGAATGAAATTCCTTGTCTACTGGCCCTGCCTAGGTCTGGGACCTCATTTTCCCACTCAGCTAGATTACTAAGTGCTCCATAACGGCTCTCCCCACCTTTAGTCTTTGCTTCCGCACCACCCACCCTGTATACTGCTATACCCTGATTAAGCTTCCTAAAGGTGACCTCTGATGTTGCTACTTCTAGCTCTCTTGATGTCATTAAAGATTCATTATTTTGAGTCTTTAAGATTTCCTATTAAAATGCAAGTTCTGATTTGAAGAATCAAATCTCTTTTGTATTATTCTCCTTTTCTGATGATAAAAGCAAGAAAGTTTTATATCACAGGAACTTTGAAAAAATAACGCATAAGAAGAAAAGAGACCAATAATTTCACAAATTTGAGAAAACTTCTTCTAGTATCCTCCCCCACCCCCGCCCCGCATATAGATGGTATAAACTGGTATAAGCTCTCTGGACAGCAAGTAGCAGTATCTAGCAAGAAGTTGACCTCATGGCCTGACTCTCTCTCACCTGAATTAGTGTAACGATCCAACACTGGGTTTCCCTGCTCCAGTTTTGCCCCCTCCAATCTAATCCCCCAGCCATCACCAGATCCATCTTTATAAAACGCAAATTTGATAAGGTCACTCCCTATTGAAATCTTTCAACGGCACCCATGGAGGCCAAGGCCCTTCCCAATGTGACCCTAGCTAACCTTTTCAAATTCATCTCTTGCCTTGGCCCCCAGCATTTTGAGCTTTAGCCAAATTAACTTTTATGCTGCCCTGTCTTGCTTCTGGGCCTTTGCATCTTCTGAATTCTCTATACTTCTTTTTGTTTACTGACTAAAATCTATACGTCCTTTAAGACGTGGATCATGCATTTTCTCCTGAAGCAGGGTGCCCTTCCTAAGTGTATCCATAAACCAAATGTATATATTGCTATCGTGGCATTTGTCATACTCTGACAGAATTACCATCTTATTTATCTATTTCCCTGACTGGCTGTGGATTCAGGTGAAGGCAGGGAATGGACTTTTTTCAATTCACTGCAGCAACCCAAGCCCTTCATTAATTACAAAGAAATTCTTTATAAAGCCCTGCTGACATGAAGAATAAAGAATGGTCGAGTCAAAAGTGAAGACCAACGTTCTGGCTTTAAGTGTTCTTAAAAATTGTTTTATTGGCAGGGCCAGCCCAGTGGCGTAGTGGTTAAGTTTGTGTACCCTGGTTTGGCGGCCTGGGGTTCACAGGTTCGGATCCCAGGCGTGGACCTA